GTCAGGGGGAGAAGAGGGCGGGTAGCGGGTGGGACATGAAGCCCCCCCTACGCCGCGCCCGAGCTTTTTCAGGGTGAGCAGCGGGTGGGGGGAGGGGAGGAAGGTTCGCTTTTTCAGGGGGAACGAAAAGGGCCGGTACACGAAGCGTCAAAGGAGCGGGGTGTAATGTTTGTTGCACTGGGGGAGGGGCGGGGAGGGTTAGGGGCTTGAAGCGTCAAGGGGTGGGGTATCGTTCGTTTCACCGATTGGAGGAGGCGGGGAGGGGCCAGGACACGAAGCGTCTAGGGTGTGCGAGAACTTAGCGCTGAAGATGCGTTCGTTGAAAAAGGAGCGCCAACCGCCGAAACTAGATAGGGGGTCATTTTGATGCAAGCTTGCACGTGCGCACGCTGGTAGAGCGTATAAACGCAGATGCCTGCTCTCTGAATGTTCTCGCCGTTTCGACTCGTGTGAGTTTCGCGTTCGTTAATGGATTCTCTTCTTTTATTTAAAAAAATTTCTCTAATATTCTAGTTAAAGTGATGCAAAAAAATTAATTAAAAAAAATTATCTAGTTAAAATACTGGTGATGTGTGAGCAGGATATGTAGAGAGGCTGCAGTGAAACATTGCTGTTCATGCGGGCGGGGGGATATATACTAACCAGTGCATCGCCGTATATGTAAATGTCGAGTCGAGGAAATAGCGAGGAGGTCGTTAATAAGGACGTCGTCGGTGCGGAGCGTGATTGATGGTCGCAGCGCGCGCGGGACGTCGGAAGACGGGCGGACGCGGCGCGCGCGCGAACCCGCTCGACGCTAATTTCACGTCGCTGACACTCGAGAATGATTGCTCGTCGTTTTGCCGGATTCGACGATCGCCGGAATTTCGTTAAAGCGTCTGCCGCGCTCGAGCGATGGCGCGACTCGTGTATAGCGTAACTGTTGTTGTATTGTATTGTATATCGTGTTGTTGTATTGTATTGCGTATCGTGTTGTTGTATTGTATTGCATATCGTGTTGTTGTATTGTATCGTGTATCGTGTTGTTGTATTGCGTTGCATATCGCGTATCGTGTTGTTGTATTGTGTTGTGTATCATGTATCGTGTTGTTGTATTGTGTTGCATATCATGTTGTTGTATTGTGTTGCGTATCGCACATCATGTTGTTGTATTGTGTTGTGTATCGCGCATCATGTTGTTGTATTGTGTTGCGTATCGCACATCATGTTGTTGTATTGTGTTGTGTATCGCGCATCATGTTGTTGTATTGTGTTGCGTATCATGTTGTTGTATTGTGTTGCGTATCGTGTTGTTGTATTGTGTTGCGTATCGTGTTGTTGTATTGTGTTGCGT